CCCCAAAACCCCAAAACCCCAAAACCCCAAAACCCCTTCGATGATTTTAAAATTGATGATTAAGAAATTTTGTCATAGTAGTCAAACAGAAGTGCTGAAAAGGTGAAGAAGGTATACGTGATTCCATTGAACACAAATAGCTTCTTTGAGGTCCTGTATCTCGCTATTAATATTGCCCCGTACTTCATCACGATAATAAGAAGTAGAATAGGAGCCTGGAATTGGATGTTCCCATTATCGAAACTAATGGCCTCTCCTGAACTCAAAATTTTTATCAGCCAAGTGAACCCCACCAAGCCTGTGATCTGGAAGATGGGACCTGAGAACGTCTCAGCAAGAGAGATTTCCTGGTCTTGAAGCTCCTCTGCAAACATCTTTTTGACTTCTAAGAAATCTATAATCTTCTTACTATCTCTGATAGATATGCCTATTGGATAAAATATAAGAGGGATAATGGAACGGTTGATGCCCCAGGCCTCAGAAAGTTCATAAGTCCACCAAACTATGATAAAAGTATAGGCGTAAATCCACGCAATGGACATGAATAAGGACAGTGGGTAGAAGTTCTCTCTTCCAGGGACTATCACATTAGGTATCGATATGAATTGTGTATAAGTTAATGGAGCAGTAAAAATATACATCAGACGTTCACGAAATTTCTTAGGGAAGGCTAGTGAGACTTTCTTGTTAACCCTCTCGTTGATTCTATCATAAATAGTTTTGGATTCAGCTTCAGTAGAACTAATATCATCCTCAAATTCATCGAATTCCTTCTCAGCTTCGTTCTTACTCTCATCTTCTTTGTTATTTTCTTTAGGTTTATTGGTTCCAATGGCAGCGAGATTTCCGCTTTCAGTCATTTTGAGTTTTCTCTTTGAGACTGCAGAGATTTTCTCGTTCTGAGAGCCCATCTCTATAGATTCAAACTCCTCTGGATTTACACTTTCGGAGTCAGACATGCAATACTCTTCTTCATAGAACTTAATGAGCTTACTGAGGTCAATTTTGCTCTTCCTACTTCTTTGAACTTTCTTGTTGAGATTGAGGGCTTGTATAAGGAGGACAATTTTTCAAGCAATTCTTCTGAAATGAGCCAGTCCAGAACCTCTCTTATTTTCCTCATATATTCTCATGATTTTAGGGTTAGCCCTTTCTCTGAATAAGTTGTCTTCTGCAATAATGTAGTTATCCTTGATTTTAAGATCCACATTGAGAAGAATCTCAGAGGTATATTTTCTAGAACCAGTGTCTTCATTATTTTTATGATAATTAGAGATATCCTTCCTACAAATTTCAACTTTTGCCTTGAGTTTTTCCCTCCTTGACTCTGCCTTCTTAATGGCAACCTCGTAATACTGGTTTAGGACCATCATGACAATATGAACGAGGTAAAAGAAGAAAAGGATGGCTGCTTTCCAGGCTTCGATTTTATTTCCAAGTAGGAAACCTGAGAAGAGAGCTACATAGAACAGGAGAAATAAGGTCTCTCTGGTGATAATCCACCAGTCAATCTTTGTATTATAATCTGAGAAGAGATAGAAAAACCCTTGTATTATCAAAGAGTAGAACGCAGTCTCTCCAACAACAGTATAAATACCAATATCAGAGACATTGAAGAAGATTGAATTCATGATGATGAAGCACTCTGCAGCAGAGTTCGTCATTGCCAAAAGAGTCGCATTCATTGTGTTACTTGAAAACCTGTTTCTCGACTTGATGATATCAATAGATGGGTTGATGTAATTCCTTGTAACGAGGGAAATCCCATAGAAGCAGTAGAGCATCCCGAGCACCATGGGGATAAATCCAAATGTCTTAATCTGTTCGTGGTTTAGGAAAGGTGGAAACCCTCCTGTCGTCCCAATAGACTGCCCTAAACATGCAGGAAGCGTCATTGTAAGGAATCATAGTATGATAATTGCTTTGGTCAGCCTGAAGCTCGTCATTATAGCTAATAAGCCACCAGTAATCCTTTTGAACGTGGAGAAGAAGGTATTGAAGAAAAGCATTTTGAATGCTTCGTTTTTTTAAATATTATTATTCAAGGTTTTAGAATAAAACAGGGGTTTTGGGGTTTTGGGGTTTTGGGGTTTTGGGGTTTTGGGG